TGATTGCTTCAAATTCAGGATGGAATAATTTACGCGCTTTTAATGCGTTACCATTTCGTTTCGGAAATTAATTATTTGTCCAAAACACGTGTCCCATCATCGATTTGTTTTAATTACTCAAACGGAAGGTATATTTCGTTCATTGTTTGTCCTTCGCGTTCGTATATTGCGCGAATATATTTGATCAGTCTTGATTAATCGAATATTCCTACTTTGTTTGCCCTCGACGGATTCGTTTTTTGTTATTTCGTTACGACGCGCAAGATGATGCATAGCGAACTCCTTTTCGTTGCTTCTCCCGTATCCATCTGGTATTCGCACGTATATAGCGTGTGCAAAATGCAATGCAGAAAAAAAAACACGCTTTCGAACGAGGAAAAGAAAATCGAAACTGAACATTCGAGAAACAAATTATTCGTTAGTTTAAATTCGTCGATACAACCCGTTTCGTTGTTATTAATCGGTGTTATTTCGAGTCTGTCTAAAATTTCCGTGGAAAATCAAATATCGATATTGACAACGTAGGCTAAAATTTCCCTCCAATGCGGAACGATATTAATTTCGCTATTATCGTTTCCCAAACGAGGCTCGTTTCAATAATAACAACAAATACGTCGTAACGTCGTAAAATTGGAATAACAACAGGACCGAATAGATTCGTGGTTACCCATTTTTCTGTGTAACGCGTACGACGAGCATATTCGTCTCTCGATCTCGTCTCAGGGACGAGAAAATGGTGGAGCATTAATCATCGTACGGCAAATATTTTGTCGGTCGGCTTCTCCTAGCAAGGGGCAGACATATGGCAGGAATCTCCTCGTTTGTGGATCGGGTTTCCTATCGAAAGTTTCGCGACGATAATTCAATCTCCACTCGGTTATTAAGTCTTCTCGCAAATCTTGATTCGAACGGATCAATTTCGTATTCTTCTTCACGAATCCAACCAGAGCGTAGTTTCTTCGTTGATTTTTTTTCTCTTCGTTTTTGCACACACACGGTCTGACGTTAAAAGCGCGGAATATAGAAATATCGAAGATAATTACATTCTGTCTCGAGGCGAAATGATTTATCGTTACAATTTATCGTCGTCTCTGCCGATTTTAAGAAGAACAGGTTCTCGAGTTCTAGTTCCATCGTCGATCCTATCATCTTTCGTAAAGGACGAGAGGGATGTACGAAAAGGGATGGACGAGTCGTTCTCCTTCTTAATCGATGGGGACTCATTTATCTCGCGACATTGCGAATAAAATCGGAGTAGGGAGTGGAGCGTTGCGAAATGGATCGGGCGTACGTACAGAAATTCATCGTAGCGTAAGTCGGAGGGATAAAGGTTGGCCGTTAATAGGCTTACGTCACGAGTTCCTCGGATTTGGACGATCGAAGAAAAAGACTACGCCTCGGTTTGGTAATATGGCTCATAAGCGGACCGCTTAATAATCGTGAAACGCTTAATTTTTTTTCTCCTTCGCGTTTCTTTTTTATTAATTTTATCAACTTGTCGCTTATCGTTTCGCTGTTCGTATTTCATTTCACGATTGCGTCCGCATTGAATTAAAATTCTTTTCTTCGTTGCCCGTCGAAAAGAAGTAATTGAAACGCGTTCGTGAAACTCGTTATTTATTTGAAATTATATTGTTTATTAATCGGAGGAAAAGAGGATAGATAAGGATAATTTTTCTCGTGATTAATTAAGAGAATAAAAGATATATATCGTGGTTTTTCGTAGCGATTATCATTTGTAACGAACATCAATCATCGTGCTTCCGTGCTTATCTTCGTAATTGCTTGCTCGTGAAAATGAAAATCGTAAATAATCCGAAGTGTAACGCATTAATTATAACGGAGAAATGTTAATTAACGGAACGACAAGTACGGCCGAATAAATTTTTTTCACGTCGTTACTTCCCTTAAATTACGTTAAATATCTTTGACAACAAAAATGAATCGTAATTTCATTTCACGAAAAAAAAAATTCAACGGCGATTATAATCGGTTTAATCGATATCTTCGAAATGGAAATAAAATATTTTCATTATACTTCCTTTTTTACAATCGCGTAAATCGTGTAAAATGTATGGAAAAAAGTTTTTGATTAAGAAGTAAGGGAGAAGAAGAAGAAGAAGAAGAAGAAGAAAAATATCGCGAGCCTCCCCTTCGAGAGATCTAAATCCGAATTCTCCGAATAGGACGTTATTTACATAAGTACGGGCGCGTTTCATGGATTATCGTTTTTGACGTTTTTACGATCGTCGAGGGAAGAATAAAAAGTTATCCAAGGCTCGCGAAGGGCAAGAGAAGGAAAATTGCGAAGGTGGAGGAGGGGGGAATCTATCGGAGACTCGGAGACGGCGTTTCGCAAATATTTTCGCAGCATTTTCGCGTAATAACTTAATCCGTTATTCTCGGTTATTCGAAAAGGTATAAAAGCTTGATTTACGCAGAATGAATAATTATACGGATTGCTCGAGCTCGGAAAACTCGTGTCGCGTGGAATATTTTCACCCAAACTTTCGCCGTATGAATAGAGAAAGAGAGAGAGGAGGGGACGTTTTATCGAACTTCCCTTTGCTTTAACCCACCGCACCGTCGAATCTCTATCACGAAAATGAAATTAACCAAATGCCAATTCTATCTCGAGTGATTTCGCGAAACGAGGGACAGTATAAAAAGATAATTTCTCCGAAAAAAAGAAAAAAAAAAAGAAAATCTTGGATCAATCTCGTTGAGGGAAAAGTCGGTTGAGCGATCGATCACTTTTTCTTTTGTCCACAATCCTCGGTTGATTTACAAAGTCTCGAGAGAGGCCTGTTTTCCAAGAAGGAAGTCGGATCGTTGTTCGCATCTCGACAACCGTAGATCCCGTCGTGTGTCGTTTTTTTTTCTTCTCTCTCTCTCTCCTTCCGTTTTAAAGGGCGCAAGGTATAAGGTCGATGTATCGTTTTCCATGCTCGAGGTTGGTTATAGAGGTCTGGTCCGAACCAGTCACTTAATACGTTTGGTGGAGGGATCGGGTGTCGCGTTTCTTTCGACTTAACGCTCGCTCGACCCACGGCATCTGCTCTCTCGCTGCGACGTCGTTGATTCGCACGGGCGGATAATGCGACCCTTCCTGCGTCATCGTTTTCCGATTAAAACCTCTCGCTTTTTTCTTCCCGTTCAAACCGATTGGAACCGCTTATACGTTGTATTACGATAGAGAAAGAAAGAAGAGAATAGTAAAGAAAATGGCGCGTTCGAAACGATATAATCGGAGTGTTTCCGAGGATTTAACGTTGCATCGGTTCGAGGTCTATCTAATTTCGCGATTCGAACGAATTGATCGGAGCGCGGTAACGTCTAGACACCCAATATATTCGCAATTATTCGCTTATTTGTATCTTTATCTCTTGTGCGCCGAGGACAACTTGGATCGAGCAATTAGAATGGAGAACCGATATTTCAATCGAGATTTTTCCATTATATCTTTTTTTTTTTTTCCAAATATATCCACTTCGGATATCGCAACTTTGTCTCCCCTTGTAAAGTGATTTATCAGCGACGATTTTTCGAAGAGAAAGAGAAAAAAGAGAAGAACGCGCGCGTGAAAAGAAATTGCAATCATCGCGTCATTGTCTCTTTTTCTTTTTTCTTCTTTTTCCGTCGTTGGAAATATGAATGCCGGTTGGTTGAGGCCCCGAGAGGGCGGCGGAGGAGAGAGAGAGAGAGAGAGAAAGAGACACCGACTCGATGAACAATGTCCGCAACGTTGCACCGGAAATAAGAACCGGCGCGTACGAGTTGACCATTGTCATTTAGTAAGCCCTCCGTTCCATTTGATTCTATTCACGCCCCTGTGAGGACCGGACGTGAGGTCAGCCGCGGCTCGTTTAAGTTCGAAACGGTTCCCTCTGGAAACAGAGAGAGAGAGAGAGAGAGAGAGAAAAGACGCACAAAGGAGGAGAAGACATTTTCGACACCGTTCATCCTTTCGATTTCTCGACGCGTGTCCAATCCCTCCTACACCGTTCCCTCCCTTCTTTCCTTCTCTTTTCAACACTTTTAAGAGATCTTATATTCGCGGATTTGACGGCAACGATTTCCACAAAGGTACAAAGAGCGAAACGGAAGCGAAAGACGAGCCGCCGACGTATCGTCCAACAGAAGCTGCGTAGAGAGAGAGAGAGAGAGAGAGAGAGAGAAAGCGAAAGGTGAAAAACTGTATTGGAAATCCGTATCTTTTGCGATGGATTCTTTTGTGACGAGAGTTACGAATGACGAGTCGAATAAATCGCGCGAGTAAGTCGATTTTTTCCTCGATTCGAGAAAAATTTCCATTTGTCGATTAATATCACGATCGAGCGGATCGGAAACGGTTAAACGATATTTTATTTCCTCGTAAAAGATACAAATTCAACGTATCTTACAGTCCGTTGTTCGAACTGGAAACGCGCGCAACGTGGAATTTCACAGGGCGATGCGATAAACGAGCCGAGCTTCGAAACGCGATCGTAAAACCGATCCTTAAACGCGAAAAACACGAATTCCGTTAATTCGACTCGCCTTTCGATTCGGACAAATTTTAGGAAAATATCTATCGCGAATGCGAGACATCCGATTCGAATATCGAGTTATCGTTATTTTCTCGTCGTTTCGCAATAATCGAATGATAAAATATATTTCGTGACTTTTAGCGCGTTTTGCTTGGACGAGCATTCGTCGTATGGAGAATCGGACAGTTTTTTTTTCTTCCCGTCGCAGAGGGGAGGAGGGGATGATCCGTTTAAAGGGAGGCGCGATAAATCCGAATCCGAGGCGGCGGATTATGGTCGTCGAAATAATTTATCGTCGTTTGTCGGGATTTGATCCTCGCTTCTGCCGCAATTTTCGCGCAAGATAATCGGCTATTCGTCTCCTCTGGAAAATGGAAGACGAGCGTCGAGGGAAACGCGCGTTTTCTCCTCTTTCTCCTCCTCGAGAGTGATGAGGAGTGGATGATGGGATGAATCGGTGGTTTGTTTCAGATGGGGTCGGCACTGATGCTCTGGTGAAAGATCGGATGATCTAGATTGGCGCGAGGGGACGACGGAAGAAGAAGAGAGGAGGCAGAGAGCAGGATGTTGTGGCGCGTGGTGGCGGTGGTGGTGGCGGCGGCGACGGCGGCGGCCATCCTAGCGGCCACGGAGAAGGTGGACGGCGACAAAGTGGTGGTTCTCCCCCACGACGTTTATCCGGGCTACGAGGTGACGTTGTTCAACACGAAACGGCCCTCCAACTTTCGCCTCATGGAGAACAATTTCTCCAAGTTCTTCACCGTGCTCGGCAACGGCCTCGTGATGACCACGTCCGACTTGTCCCCCCTGGTCGACCGACCGGTCAATCTGATAGTGGTGGAGGAGTTGGCGAACGCGACCGAGACCCACTTCCTTCATCTCTACGTGATCAATCGGCGGAACATGATCACTTTCTCGCACGATCGTTTGGGCGAGGGCGAGGTCGGGGAGAACCGGCCCGCTGGCACTTTGGTCGACGGTTTCCCGGTGCTGAGGGCGCGGGGCAGCTTCCCGGTCCATTACGCGATCCTTGGCGACGAGGGGGGCGACAGGCCGTTCGCCCTGAAGGAGGAGGGCTCGGATCGGACGGGGTTCAACTTGACGTTGGGCAGCGAGAGGGAAGGCGTCCGCGTGGTCACGGCCAGGCCGTTGGACCGCGAGGCGGCCAAGGCGTACGCGGTGGCGATCCACGCCTCGGACGGTTATCTGTTGACCAGCAGCCGGATCGACGGGGTGGTGCGGGTGTTGGACGAGAACGACAACAGCCCGGTGTTCGAGAGGGAGGAGTACACGTTCGAGGCGAGGCCGAGCTCGAGGGAGGCAGGGGGGAGGAGGAGGGGGAGCCTCGGCTGGAAACGATTCTCGACCGTGGGCAAGGTGGTGGCCAAGGACGCGGACGGGGACAAGGTGGCGTACAAATTGGCGACGCCTAGCAGGTTGTTGGTGGTCGTGCCGCAGACCGGGGAGCTGATGCTGGTCGGCGAGCCGGAGATCGGGCCCGAGGAGGACGCCGAGTGCGTGGCGGTGGTGGAGGCGCACGACGTGCGCAACCCTAGCAGGTCGAGCGAGAAGCCGGCCAAGGTGGTGGTCAGGTTCCTCACGTCGGATCCGATCGTCGTCGCGAAACACGAGGACGGCGATGACGACGATGGGGTGGTGGAGGTGCACAGGATACGGAAGAGGAGGGTGACCAGGGCGGTGAGGCCGACGAAGAAGGTGGACTTCACGGAGGCCGATGGCGACATCGAGGGGAAGATCGTGTTCTATCTGGAGAAGGAGAACGAGAAGGAGACGTACAAGATCAGGGACGAGAACAAGTGGGTGACGGTTGATTCGAACGGGTCGGTTATAGTGAAGCAGAAATGGGATTACGAGGAGCTCGGCTCGGAAAAGACTATCGATTTTTGGGTGACTATCACCAATACAGGTAAAACATCCTTTCGAATATCCTTCGAATATACTTTTTCTCTCTATATATTCTTCTTCTTTCCTTTTTTTTTTTTCTTTTTTTTTCTTTGAATTAATTTCGCGACGAAATATTATCGTCTCTCTCTTCTCTTCGTTTTTCCTTCCTATCTATCTTCTTTATCTAATCTTTTTAATTTTTTTTTTTCCGTTATTCGTTATGACAGAAGAACGGTGCGCACGATACTCGTCGTATCTCCAGTGTCCATATCACGGTACAATTACGTTATTTTTTTACATCTCGCAATTTTTCCTCCTCCGCGTGCAGCATCTATCGCGGTCCACCTTCTCTTCGCGTCTCGTTTCCTTCTGCAAATTTCAAAAAAAAAAACAGAATTGGGTGAAAGATATCCATCGCTTGTTTATTCATTATTAAGTGGAAATGGCGCATGCTGAAACGAACTCGGGGGTAGAGTAGTGTTGCGTTCCGCGGTAATAATCGAGAACGAACGGCAAGAGATGTGACGTGAAAAAGCGATTTGGCGAGCAGCTCGCACGTGGATACAATTTCCTTTCGGAACTGGTAACGTTGTTGGTTTTGGAACGTGAGGTCGAGCGCTAATTACAGTTTCGCCGGGGAACAAAAATGAGCGGGGACACGCGTGTGTGTCACGCATGAAGGGAAGGCCGGAAGGAATTAAATTATGTTATGTATTTCCGGTGCGTTATTCGGGTTGCTCGCGAAATTATATATAACCTCGTCGTAATTTTCGATGCGATGCGATTGGTATTTGCCTCTTGTTTTCTCTTTTTTTTTTCTCTCTCGAACTTGATTTCTTGCCGCGCGTTCGTACTTTAACCTGTGCTTTCTCACTAACCACTAACTGATGTTTTCTTTCCCGCATTCTTGGCTTTCGCAGGATTTCAATGTAAGTAGTAGTCAATCCTCGTCTTTATTTTTTTCCTCTCTTTCTGTCTATCTGTGCGTATTCCAGCGTAGAAAACGTAGAACGAGAGAACTTTGCAGCTTTGATAATAATTCGCGCGTAGAATGGAACGATCTTTTTTAGTTTGTTTCCGTTGCATCGAACGCTTGCTCCGATTATAAAGCTTGTCGAGCGGAGCTGTGCTGTTTCGTTGGGTCGGTGTGCAGTGTTTATGGGCGATGACGGTGGAAGATGCGAGTTAATAAACCGAATTTCGAACGCTCGGTTCCCAGAGACAAGATTTTAACGCCGTTCCGAACCAATTTTCTAAAAATTTTGTCGTCAAAGTTGGTTCATTTCTCTCTACCGATGTAAATATCTTTTAAACCGTCGTTAATAACGATATTTGATGTTTATTCACGCAAATCGAAAGAAGAAGAAAGTGTCTGCGCGGATCGATCCGTTACGAAAATATTAAAAAAATATCGCGAATTTCCTTTTGAACGTAGTTTTTTTTTATTACAAACGAGGATATCGATCGAGATTAATTCAAACGTGATTCGAATCGAAAAGTTTGAGATCACGTTTACCGATTCCTTTTTTCCTCTCTCTCTCTCTCTCTCTCTC